AAAAAAAAAAGAAACAAAAAGAGTACGCCAAAGAGGTGTATAGTCGGGCGCTAAACGTATCGTTCGTCGGGAATGAAATTTTAAACTTTAATCGCGAGATTAACCGCGTATTTCATAGTCACGGCTTTTCTGTCGGCCACGGTAAATTATTTTGTTTTTCTCCGAATTCTCCGCTGCTTCTCGTGCTTCAAGCGAACGAGCTACAACACCGTACATGCACAGCAGAGTATGTTTGCAAGCTGAGAAGCGATCTCGCGTTCTCTCACGCAGCCGTCCAATGAACGAATGAGCTAATAAACGAACGAACGAACAGACGAACTCACGTGGTATCCATTTGCAGTTCGAAGGAACGCGGGGTTTCTGCGGCGGCGGAACGTCGGGAGAATTTCGGGCATCTCTCGTGTCTTTATTAAGGCAGCTCATCTATAATTCACCGGACAACCTAGGCGGCCTGACAGTGTGCTGGACTCGCCGGTCGCATAAACACACGGCATCTCGTGCAGAAACTCATGCATGCCAGTGTGTGGCACGCATTGCGGTTGTCAGCTCTAGTCAACGTGTAATTTACTATCCTGTCTCGGTTCGATGCAGATGCGCCCGTTGCTCGGGACCTGGACCACCAAGTACTGTCCGCTGGACGTCGGCGCTAACGGCTACGAGGACGCGAACATCGCCTGTGTACTGTTGTTGCCGTATTGCCGTTGTTGCCATCGCTAGTTACGATCCAAGTGGACGATACGGACCTGGCTCCAGGTACCACTGACCACTTGGAACCAGGTCACCGCAAGATCCCCATAAACCAACTGCTACATTCTGCTCGCTATTTCGCCATTAACTCAAATAGAAGTTTGCCATAGGTTGGCCGGTTATCGTTAGCATCTCTTAATGAGCAAAATTCCAGCGACGCGACAATGTCCTTACACCTTCATTTCCTTTATAGTTTTCCTATGGGACAGGATTCAAGCCATGTAACGAGGCCATAAATTGAATTATTGATTACGAACACTGATCTAAAGTTTAGGAGCCTTGGTAGAAGAAAAGATGTTAGAATGACTCACGACTATTTTCCAGCTTCGTTATTTTTTTCTTTTTTTTTTTAATATCTTTGAAAATATTTATACTACATTGTCACAGGGTATTAACATGATCGAAAAATGAATTAATTTCGATTTTGTAGAACTCGTACGAAAGATAAAGGAAGACAATTGAGTAACGTACACTTGAGCTTGTTTTCATTCATATATAAATGTCTACAAAATTAAAGTTAAGACATTTTATTTTAACGACTTTTTGATGATATCCAAAAGCAAGGATTTCCTTCTGGAAAATAGGACAATTATAAAGTGCACATGCACATTATTGCAATTTATAAATGTGAGTAGTCTGT